TCGATTGTTTGTTGATTATGGGAGTTTGCTGTACAGCTAGATACCACCACCTGCTTACCCATACTTATAAATATCCACCAACAGTAATCACAATTCACACAACATTCAGCCTTGATAATGGATGCAGAATGCAATCAAAACGCGTTGGCCAACTCATCACTATCTACAACTTTTACCCATTGTTCTAACAACGTTAAGACGACTTATCGACTTCTTGAGAAGAATTCTAAGAAGAAAGTAAACCTACAGACATCGGTTTTGTTTAACAAAATCTGCCTACAAAAAAAATCTGTCACCAAAGTACACCAAAGTAAAAAGAGAGCACAAAAGGTTTGGTGACATAGCATATTTCATCCTCTCAAAGGCCTTGAACGAAGCTTTTTGTTCATCTCGATTGGATATTGTCTTCGATGTATACGATGAAAAATCAATAAAAGATGTTGAAAGAGAAACCATACTCGCTCCAACAAAGTCTATCCAGTTGTAGAATATCACAGCCAAATAGACAGTTGTGCAATGAAGAACATTCCTCTTCTTAACACCTAATTTATAGTACAGGAATGGAGGAAGCCCATATACAAAGAAAGGTTGAACGACAAAATCATGTGTGTAACAACAGGGAACAATTGTTATCTGATCAGTCAGCAAGAGATTACTACTGTCCCAGAACTCAGTTCCACACAAGAAGAAGCCAATACTCGTCTCATTCTGCACACGACTCATGCCACGAGTACTGGATACTGATCTATTTTACTTGTAGCCAATGACACTGGTGTCTTTGTTTGGCATTCTTCCCCGTCACAGATGCTTCTACATACATCAAAAGTGGCACCCAAGCAAGAATAAAATATATCGATGTAACAAAACTAATCAATGTATTTGGAGACTCTGTATGTAAAGCTCTCATTGGTATGCATGCTTTCACAAGGTATGACAATGTCAGTACTTTGGTGGGTTGAGGAAAGATAGCAGTCAAAATAATTCCAACAAGTATTCAATGACCTGGAAAAGAATGGATCATATTGACATCACTATTCAACCAGCTTTAAATCTTCACATGCCGACTGTATTCATCGAAGTCCAAAGTGCAGAACGTCTATGAACTGCAATATCACTTGTTTTGTGCCACAAATGATCACATTGAGCCACACCAGTTACCACTCTTGTGAAGATTCCCTACACAAGAAAGTGCTCCATGCAAATTAGCAAATTGCAATTTGAAAGAGAAGTCTGATGAACCATCTTTGTGTACCTTCACCAACTGGTCATGGCTGGAAAGTAGATGAAGGTAATGCGACAGACCAGCTTTAATTTGACTGGATGGATGGGGCACCTGCACCAGATACAGTTTTGGATTTGATGGCTTGCCACTACAAACGGTCATGTAAGATTCCTACCTGTTCATGCATGGTCAACAACTTGAAGTGCACAGATCTCTGCAAGCCACCAGAAGCTGAAGATATCAGAGTGTTGCATGACGAAATAGAATACTTTGACACTTGAGAAGAGATTATCTCTTGTACTCACTAGTTAACTGAAACACACAATACATTAATTTGTGTAAATGGCTCTCAAACACTATGTATGTGGATGGAAATGACAAATGGGCCAGACATGGCCAGGTGGTTAGGGCACTCGACTCGCAATCTGCGGGTCGAGGGTTCGAATCACCGTCATACCAAACATGCTCGCCCTTTCAGCCGTGGGGGCGTTATAATGTGACGGTCTATCCCACTATTCGTTGGTAAAAGAGTTGGCGGTGGGTAGTGGTGACTAGCTGCCTTCCCTCTAGTATTACACTGCTAAATTAGGAACGGCTAGCGCAGATAGCCTTCGTGTAGCTTTGCGCGAAATCCATAACAAACAAATGACAAATGTGTGAATTATTTATTGCTTATTGGGACATTCCATATTCGACTCCTGAGAAATTACGTATTAATTGCTTGTTCAATGTTAGAAATGAATATGTCACTGAAATTTAATAAAAACATGAACAATCTTTAGAGCTGAGGTATGTTTTATAAAACAAAATGAATGCACAAAACAAGGTAAAATTATGTTATGGTCTCACTTTTTGTTGTATTGATTAAATTATATTATTATCAATAACAGTTTATTAATTTTAGATGGTTAAATTTGTATATATGTGAAGAAAGTTTCTTCAATAAAAATAACATAAATAAAAATCATAACTCATCTGAAAAAGATTGATCTATAATCAAAACCAGCTATAATTAATTAGATTTGATGTCATTTTCATGCTATAAAATGTTAAATATTGGTACATAGTTCACTAAACAATGTCAAATTTTGGTAGTTTCATTGAAAAATGAGGGTCGACCCCACTTTTTCAAACTCCACTGTAGAGCTTAATCTGCTGAATTGCCACTGCTACGGACACATGAACTCCCCAGTAGCAGAGCTATCTAATGATACCACTTAACTATTGCCACCCTAAATGGTACCTTATGCCATGATTCGGCCACTTGCCTGACGGACTATTATATATTTAGACACAAATCATTCTTTAGTACTAAGTTTCTTCTGATCTCATTATAAGATACTACGATTTTAATCAAGGTAAAGTACTGTTGCGTCAGCGAGTCACATGACCACCGT